GCAAAATAATTTAATCAGATAAAATGTGGGATAAAAACTATTTATTCCTCTTTCACAATTTTAATTAAATACCCAACAATCCCCCACATAAAAAGAGGAAAACGATGACTCGATGAAGTAAATATGAATTCTGCATAGGATAAGTAGATTTTATTTGAACTTCTCTTTGTGCAGTACGTACTATTTACCAATTGTCTAGTGGACGCGTTGTCCTTGAACTGTTCAAATTTTATAATAAATGGGCTACATACTGACACAGAAGTCATGTGCCTAGTTCGGTTCTTATTGTTTGGTTTGTTTTGGCCATGGAACCCGTCCTGATTCTGTGAGAGTTTCTAAATAACTGAGCTTGAACAGTTCTTCTTTGAAGTGGTCCCACTTCTCTCTCACATAGGTGATCTTTCTAAATTTCCGAGTGATACATCACTCACTTAGTGATCATTAAAACAGTTATTTGTTATCCTCTCTACACTGTCCCTGTTTGTTGATATGAATGAATTGAGGCTATTAGCCCCAAAGTAACATACATAAGTCTTATAGGTAAATTGTCCAATTGAACTTAGTTTTTGGGATCTCCAATCTTTCTAGGTTGTATTTTTTTTTTCATAAAACTTTTTTCTCGGTAGGCTTAAGCCCAATTCCTCTAGTCAGTTTTTAAACTGCATCACGATTTAACCCCCTAGTTAGCGGATCCATTAGGTTATCTTTTGACGCAACAAGGTGTATCGCAATAATCTTAGTTGTGTTAAGTTATCTTATGGAATTGTGTCGACGAATAATGTGTCAACTCTTTCCATTGTACATTGGACTTTATGCTTTGTTGATAGCAGATTTACTATCGTAGTAAAGAGTTATGGTAGAGACAAGTTTGTATCATTATGAAATGTCCTCAAGAGAGTGACGAATCCATTTCGCCTCTTCTCCATTGTCTCCCACAGCTGCTTAGCCGTTTGCGCATGTTGGTAGACACCGTATAAGGAATCGCTCAAGCCATTCAGTATATAATTTTTTTTCTAACATAAATTCTGACCATTCAAGCTTTCAGAATTTGCGCTTTGTGTTCTTTCGAGGATTCTTCAAGCACAACAAGTGCAGCCTCCGTCAGCCAATCTTCCAGATTCAGCGTGGTTAGATAAAACAAATCTTTTGCTGCCATATTTTAAAATTCTGTCCATCAAATTTTTTTGGCTTCTCGGCTGCTGCAACAACAGGTTGCCTCAAAGTTGCATACTGCATTACATGGTCCAATACAACAGCAACTATATACCCTTCAAGTCATTTGGTTGATGTCTGGCAGGCGCAACGAGACCTCGCGCAGGTCCTGCAGCCATATAACAGGATCGTTTTGATATCCCTGTGAGACAGCCTGTTGCTGTTCTGCCTCGTCCGCAACATGCTGGTTAGAGGTCGCAACAACAGGTTGTGCCCCTCTCCATCACAGTCTTGAAGGCTTGTTTCGTACGTTGTGTTTGCAACATTTTCGGCAGTAGCCCTCCTAGAAGTACCAGTTGGACAGGGTGGTTGAGATCGTGGAATAAAGAGAACGGGAGTGTGAGATTCGTTGCAGTTAATCTCCTCGTTCTCCTCCCTATCTACACAAATCTGAATATCATCATTCAGATTTATGTCGTCTCCATCGCATCGCGCACAACATCGATCATTCATTCGTCATCAGGTAGGTTCAATAATCAGCAACTCCATGACACAAAAGCCAGATAGATCAGAGTGAGTCAAAAATTTTAAATCTCCCGTCCACTATTGCAGGCACCTTCCCCAACGGATTGATTTCTCCGAACGCAGGGGTTAACTTCTGGCGCTTGGACAAGTCGATTCTCACATCCTCGAACCTTGTTTTTTTATCCAACAGAAAGTAGATCTGCGCCATGTGTGAACTGATTGATTGAATTTGTCAGAGGAACATAGCGTAGGCTGAGAGAATTGAGAAATTGAGAGAAGAAGAAGGTTCTGAAGATCACGTGGGAAAGGGGGGATTTCTTTGGCTATCTCAGATTTCAAGAATTTTCTTCAAGATTGTTGGAAAATTTATCAGTGAATTCGAGATGTGACGAAAATCAAATCAGCAAAATCAAAATCCGAGCCTCGCATAGCGCGTGATTTCTTTGAAACGAATTCAGCCCTCCACCGATTGTTTCCCAGGATTGAACGAATTGTTAACGATTCTGCAAATCGAATTAGGAAGCTTTCGGAAAAAGAAATTTTGCCAAGAAAAAAAAAATTGAGAGAATATTTAGAAGAGAGATTTTTCATGTATTTAAAAGAGTGAGAAAAAATATTTATATATATATATATATTATATATTATTATTTTTTCACATTATTTTATATTTAATCAGGTAAAGAGGAAAAATGTACCAACTTCTGCTTGTTGCATTCACTTGTAACAAATTATTTTATTTAATTATTTATTTATTTATTTCAAGTCAAAATAAATTAATCATATAAAATATTGGATAAAACAATCTATTCTTCTTTCATATTTTTAATTAAATACCCAACATATATTTATTAGAGAGATAATTATTTTCTATCTCGAAAAGTTGCATAATATGTTGGACAATCCAAAAAGAATATTGTAGAATACATGAGACCGATAAAATACTTTTTTTGTCAATCCAACTTGCACTCGTATTTTTAAGCATACTTTTAATATATGTATTTTTTGATATCTTTTCATCTTTTATAGTTCAAAGAAAGATTATAAAAAGTAATGCTTCATCCGACTCAACTCGAGTGCATCTTTTCTATCATTTTTTTTTTTTTTTATCTCATTCAAAATATATCTTATTATAGTAAAATTAATTCATATATAAATACCAAAAAATCTATAATTTTAACAAACTATTTAATATATTACTCCATTCGTTTCACATATCATGTCTACATTGTTGTTTCTGTCCGTTTCATGTTTCAGGTCACTTTCATTTTTTGGAAAATGATTAGACACCTTAAAATCATTTTAAATTTTAATTCAAATATTTTTAATTTTAATTAAACTAATTAGTTATCCAAATTTTAATATTTATTTATTTATATTATAAAATAATTATTTTTACTTATATATTTTTAATTATCCACTAATTATACTTATTCTAAATTTATGTGTCTACGGTGGTAATCTAAATATGCAATGTGGGATAGACGGAGTAGTATTCTATAAATAACAGTACAATAGAAATATTATGCCCTCAAACTCATTTTATTGTTAAAATGGCATTGTATGTACTATTATGCAAAGTGAAAAGAGTATTTTATAGTATTAAAGTAAAGGGAAGGTTACACTGCTGATTTGGAAAAATTAGTATCAGCACTCATAAAATACAAATATAGCACAATTTTTTATTAAAAACAACACATGTTGTTTATAATTGTTGATGTATTTTTTCAATAATAAAAAAGTAAAACTCGAAAATAGAAAATTATCTTCGAATTTGATATAATTAGTGCCTGAGATTAGGAATCTCTAAACACTGTACGGTACAGAAAATAAACTGGAAAATAAAAGACTAAAAATTTAAATGATGATCCCCGAATCACTGACTTTGCTGTCGTTTGAAGATGATTGAAGATGCCTTGTCAGTTGCAGATCCCAATCCTTAAATATTCTTCAGAAACGGTACTTGGAACCGTCGCCCGAACGGTTATAACGCCTCCTCTTAACCGTTTACTAACTCTTTTTTTGCTGACACGTGTTCTCAGCCGACCAAGCTATTATTCTCACTTGCTCTCCGCAGCACCCGATCTCCACAACCACCAACAACTCACTCATCCAACTGTGGATCAACCGACTTGCCTATCCGACCACAAACCGACCGACTTGCTGGTCCGACCACAGACCTTCCGACTTGTTGGTCCAGCCGCAAACATCCCTACTTGCAGACCGTTCGACTTGTTGGTCGGACCACAAACCTTCCGACTTACTGGTTCAGCCGCAAACCTCCCAACTTGCAGACCATCCGACCTGCGGATCTTCTGACCTGCAGACCTTCCGACCTGCGGACCATCCGACCTGCGGACCTTTCGACCTGCGGACCGTCCGACCTGTAGACTGTCCGACTCGCAGACTATCCGACCTGCGGACCTTCCGACCTGCGGACCGTCCGACCTGTAGACTGTCCGAATCGTAGACTATTCGACCTGCGGACCTTCCGACCTGCGGACCATCCGACCCACCTATTTTCTTAGAAATACGTCTAGTTCACCCGATTATCTCGAAATACTCCTTGATCAATCTAACAGACCCAATTATAGGCACATTTCCTCTTCTAAATTGGGTTTTTTAACCTAATTATAAATTTCATACGTAACAATAATAATATGTGCTGTTTGTTTATAATTAGACGTGTGCTATACAAGTGTATATCATGTGCTAAAATGAACTGTTGCATGTGTTGTATGAGATTATATTATATCATGTGTATGTGTTGTTAATTCATGTGCTGTGTTTAAATTATATGAATATAAATGATGTGTTGTCACTAACATTACCGTGTGTTATTTTCTAACTATCTGTTTGTTGTTAGTTCATGTGTTGTGCTTGTATTACATTAATATAAATCATGTGCTGTTACTAACATTAACGTGTGCTATTTGCTAACTATGTGTGTGTTGTTCAACACTGTGTAGCCACCTCCTAAAGTAAAAAATATAATTATTAGAAAATAAAATATATACATTGGAATTAAACATACTTAAATGACAACATAATTATATTTATAGCATCCAAAACAGAATATTATTTTTTAATTTATTAAAAAATCAGAAAAATACATTGAATTGATACGAAAAAGAGTAGAATCTTTTACTACAACAAAAATAACAAGAATATTTTTATGGCAATAAAAAAATCAAATAATATAGATTCAAATGAAAAAAATTATTAAAAAAATAATTTTTTATTCAAAATATTATGTCAATTTATATCCTATGAACCCAAAAACAAAACTCAAACCTTATATAAACCCTTCTACTTATTACATACAAATCTACTCAATTACATAACATAAAATTTACATTTCTTTCAGCCTATCAACTTATACCATAAAATACAATACAATGTTTTTCGCACTCATCGTCATCATCCTCCTCGTATCACTAACTCTCATCAAACTTCCATTAACAACCACCAAATCGGCGGCGCCGCCCGGCCCCCCCGGCCTGCCATTCATCGGAAACCTACTCCAATTCGACAGATCCAAACCCCACATCCACCTCTGGAAGCTCTCCAAAAAATACGGCCCCATCATATTCTTAAACCACTGCTCCACCCGGTGGCTCGTCGTCTCCTCCGCCGCCGCCGCCAAGCAAATACTCAAAACCGACGACCTCTCCTTCTGCCGCCGCCCGCCGGTGGTGGGGCAGCAGAAGCTCTCCTACGGAGGCAAAGACATAGCCTTCTCCCCTTACAACAACCACTCCAAAGGCCTCAGAAAAATCTGTCTCCACCAGGTCTTTTCGTCGAAAGCCGCCCTCTCCTTCCGGCCGATCCGCGAGGACGAAGTCTGGAGGATGATCGACGCCATTAATACCAGTCTCAGAGCTTCTTCTTCTTCTGGTTCATCTTCTCCGATCAATTTGAGCCGTCTGGGCATGTCGCTGGCGGTGAACCTGATCTGCCGGACGGCGTTCGGGCGGCGGTTCGAGGAGGACGAGTACGAGAGGATCAAGTTCGATAGGCTTATAATGGAAGCTCAGGCGCTGATGGTGAGTTTCTATTTTGGGGACCATTTTCCGACGGCGTTGGGGTGGGTGGATAAGGTGCGGGGGTTGTCGGACAGGCTGAGGAGGAATTTTGAGGAGCTGGATGCGTTTTACGAGCAGATTATCGAGGAGCACAGAGGATGTAATGGAGAAGAAGAAGAAGACATTGTTAGTTTCATGATTGGGGTTATGGAAGAGGAGCAGCGACGTTCTTCCATGGATTTCACACGAGAACACCTCAAAGGCTTGCTCATGGTAATTACTACTGTTCATCGATTTAATTTTACGTATCATACACAGTGGGGTACTAGGATCGTACCAGACGGGGGGTGGGGGGTGGGGGGGGGGCTAAATTTGAAAATTATAAAGTGATATATTCTATTTCTAAATATTTATTTGTTGTCCCAAATAATTATTATTTTAGTTATTATATTAAGATAGATCATATGATGAAAATATTTTGAAAAAGAAAAATACAAATAACAAACTTCTAACAATAATAATAGTTATATATTATAAATATTTATTTTTGTATTTTTTAGATATATTCAGATAAATTATACAATTTTTTAGTATTTATTTTACCTATATTTTTTCTCTATATACATATATGTTTGAGAATAGTTCTTTAACTAAATTTTTTTCGCTAAAATGTCGTCTGGTGTTGGACTCGCCACATTGGCCTTACGCATCTGACATATCATCGTTACGTAAATGCCACGTCAAATGACCATTTTAGCGAAAAATTTTTACTTGTAAGACTATTTTCAGACATAATCCATTTAAAGTTCTAAAAATGATAAAGGAAGTCAAAGACGAGACTTAAAATAATAGTTTACCAAGACATTTTGTAAAATATATATATAAAATTCACATGTTGCTGACGTGGATTTTATATTGCGATGACATGTCAGCCGCATTTTAGCAAAAAAAATTTTTACTTACGCAACTATTTTTAAACATGATTAGTTAAAGTATAAAGAATGTCAGATACAAAACTAAAAAATAATTTACCTTATAAATATATATCCCTCGTTCATCCACTATAATTATGTCATCTTTTTTTATTGTCCATTAAATTTAATATAAAAATGATAATAAAAATATAACGTTGAGATATTAGATAAAAAAAAAAAAAAGCAAACAACATTGTCAACCAAAAAATTAGATATTATTTACAATTAAAAATAGTAAACAACCAATTTACGTATTACATAAGAAGCAAATTGAGATATTTTATTTGGATTCGGTTGATTTTTAGTTCTTTATTATATTTGTCACTTTTACGTAGATATCAATATATTTTTTTTTTTATAAATTATTAAATTTCAATTACTATTTAATGGAAAAGTAAACAACTTCGTTATATGTAATAATTAAATTCAAATATACTTCATCCGTCTCAATACAATAATCTTGTTTACTATTTTTGTTCTTATTTTCATAAATAACCATATCATCATAAAATTATCTATACTTTTTCATTTTTATTACACAATTGCCACTACTTTTTACACTAATACACTCATAAGGGCAAAAAAGTCTTTTATCCATATTTTTTACCAACTATCAATATAATATCAATATTTTTTAAATTTTATGCCTAATCCAATTAAGACTATATTTATGGGACGTAGGGAGTATAATATATTTTAAAGCCTTTTTTTTATATATATACTTTAGTTTTAATTGTGAAAAGATACACTATATTTACAAAAATTGTAAAATGACAAGAAGATTTTTTTTTTTTTTTTTAAAAAAAACTGAATACAAAAATATAATAGGATATAATATATATATATATATAAAGGAAAAAAATCCGACTTAGTACAAAAATAATTATTTTCTGTAATACTTTTTAAATTTCTCACGCCTCACAGAAAAAAAAAAAAAAAATTATATATAAATGTTAAACAAATTCCAACTTTACCATTTCTTTTAAGAGTCGGTACAAATATAAATAAGTAAATTTGAAATAAATTGAATTGTGGGAGGCAACGTACAACTAAAAAAAAAAAAATTAAAAAACATTTAAAATAGGATAAAAAAAAATTACAATCATTTACGGTTGAAAATTTACCATTAGAAAAGCTATATGGAGTAGATGACTACAAGGTACACATGATAATATATCTATATCTTTGACTACAAGAGGAGACTTTTTTTTTTTTTTTAATTACTTCAAAGTACACGCTAAACAAAATTTAGTTACACCCAAGTCCATGTCAAAATGGCCATTAAGCCACCCGTTGAAATAATTTACCAAAAGTATGTTGTTACATGTAGTTAGCATGTCATCAAAATATAGTAGAAGATGATGAAATATTTATTGAAAGCTTTAAGTAAAATAGATACATACACTCACAAGTATATTCTAACTTGCATATAATGTCATAAAAAAATTTATTCCAAATTTTCAATAAAAGATTCATCAAAGACTTGCTTAAAATAGATAAACTAATCAAGTGTATCCTAACTTGCATATAATGTCGTCAAATTATTGATTCCACTAGTGAGAAGCTTATTTTAAACCATACAAGGATTTAGTGAGCTTAAAAAGCAAGTGCTCTTTTCCATATTCAAAATGCTCATCAAGAAAGTGCTCGGATACCCATAGCCCCTTGTTTAAGAGCAAATTTAGCAAAATAAGAAGACCTAATATGGCTAACTGTTGAAGACTTTTATATGTTGGAAAAATAATTAATGATATGTATCTCTAGCGAGTTATGCTTTCAGGTGAAACGATCATTCCGATCATCTAACATTAACTGACTCCTTCACAACCACTCTCACTTTACAACAACTTTATTCACTCTTGGAATATCTTCTTTCCATTTAAAGATTCATTAAAAGTTCAAGGATTTTCATCCTATGTTGAAATTAGCATAGGTTCCATGTTTGATTCTTGTGAAGACTCTCAATCTTTCCATTGACAAATCAATTCTATAAGGAATAAACTTGGAAGTTTGTAGCTTGTTTGAAATAAAAAGTCTCCTCAGACTCAGAAAGTTGTGGAACAATTGATAGAGCGAAAAAAAAGCCACAATTTTTTCTTTTTAAATCCTTTTTAGGTTGTCCGACTTCTCTTTTCGGGCAACTTTAAGCTAGAGAATGTTGTGATGAGTTTCCTTGGTTTAGCAAACCAATTTCCAACGAGTTCAGTTTAAAGGCAAATAAGTTTTAAACTTGTGAGATGAATTTGACTTCATTGATAGTAAGAGGCTTGCTTAGTTCTTATCATGAGAGTTCATATTATTTTATAAAGTTAGTAAGCTCACTTGGTGACAAAAGATTTGAAACTTCGTATATTTCCTTGGCTTTACAATTCTAGTGAGAACTTAAGGAAGAATCACTTAATAATCTGTAATACTTTGTCCTGCTTTCCATAAAAGCTAAGTATGTCATTCAAGAACGTAGAGTAGTTTTACAAGTTAACAAGAGTTCTTTCACCACTCACTTTCCTCACTTGTGCTCCCCTTAGGGGAATTTCCAAAAGGTCATATAATTTGAAATTATTTTAGGATAAATACACTTAATTCTAAAATTCTTTGAAATGAACTTTTTTTTAAAAAAAATATACAAATTATTGACATAAGTAGTCTAATCAATCTACTTAAATTTATCTCAACTTTAAGAGTACCACACAGCCCTAGACTAACTTGTCTTTGCTGACACAATAAGGTGTTGAGAAACAAAAAAAAACATATTGAAATTTGGATTTACCTAACCATATTTTCTCAGGAATTTAAAATTCGAGATAATATGGAGTAAGCGGTCGATTAAAAAACAAGCACAAAACATAACTTTTGCCCACCCAACATTTAATGCATAGTCTAATAGTTGATAACATGCAACGTGCTCACTCTAAATAGGTCTGATTAAGTAATACAAAAAATAATATCGGAATTGTTGTATGTTGACCAATCCCTTGTTTTGCTTAGAATGAATAGAACACGCCGCTACATAATTTCAACCCATAATCTGTTCATAGTTTTTTTCACATTCTTCTTCATCTTATTTATCCATTTAACACCTTTCAAGACTTGAAGGTCTCTAGTGCTTTTGACCTGTGCTTGAAGAACTAAACCCTAGTATTCTTCCGATCAAAAAAAAAAAAAACAAAACAAAACCAAGTATTATTGAAATAATCAACAATTAAAGTCATCATGAATCATTAATCTATACATGATGAGTGTGTAGTTCAAGCGATTGAACCTTCGCTTAGCATAGCATGCTAGAGGTTGGGGTTCGACCTCTTTGGATTGCTTAAGTGTATGTGTGTATGTGATACCCTGGCCCGCCAACTACGCAAGACCGAGCTTTTCGGGATCGTAGACTGGTTTCACAGGTCAACACGAGTCCTTTCAGAGCACTTCTGTTCTCACTCATGCGCATCCTGAGAGACTTTCCAATGGGTCACCCATCCTCAAATTACTTTAGGGCAAATACGCTTAGCTTTAGAGTTTTTTTCAGTAGGGCTTCTAAAAAAGAATGTATAGATTGTTGACATGAGTAGTCTATTCAACTTATGTAACCTCTAATTAACTTTGAGTGGCCTAATGCCGCCTCATCCACACACGAGAGTTGGCCAAACAACGGCCCGACTTCAGGGGTATACAATGTATGTATAATTATAAAAAATAAAAATAAAAATGGATGCAATCCAAGACTCCAACCAATAATTCACTTGAGACAAAAAATCGATTCGCTTGTGTTTTGCAAACACATAGTGCTTGTAGAAATTAAATTTTTTTCAAGGACTTATTTTTTTTTTTTTTTTCTGAGGAATCCTTTCTAATAAAGGATCTTTAGACACTTATCACTTATATGACGAAGTTTCATATGCCGTAAAAGCGTGTTGAGTCGAGCTTGAATTTGCTCGGCCTTTCCCAAATGTTAAGTGGGTCAACTTGCTCGGCTTGATTATGTGAGCACCTAAGGAGACTTTGAGAACTCCACCTTTACTTAAATGCCAATGGACAAGTGCTTCAAGAATTCAAGAAAAATTAAATTTTACATGATTGCATTCATAGACAGCTTTTCTTACGACTTATTTAAAAAATATAAGTAGAATATCATATTATGCAATCTCATTCAAATTAAATCTGCCAATTATTTGTTCTTTAATCCAACACGTTTGTGCTTAAAGGTCTTTTTCAAGCTATGTCTATCACGATATCATTCATTTGAAAATGTCAAATTGTATAAGAGATCATTCTATCAAACATCTCAACTTCATATTATCATTGCATTATTAGGCTTTAATATCACTTGTTGTGAATAATGCCTTCAGTGTATTATTCTTTTCGACTACTCTTTTTCAAATGAATATAACATAAACGTACTATTAAAGGACCACAAATGCAAAGCTATAAATTTATTGGAGACCACAACGTGGCCTCAATGTATTCTTCACTTCGTCTATTCTCTTTCAAATAAACATGAAATGCATGTAAAAATTAAAGGACCACAAATATAAAAGCAACAAATTTATTGGAGACCACAAGGGCAAATAATCACAATGTCAACTCAAACAACAATTAAAAAGAAATTGATAATAATTAATTGGTTCTCATTTGTAACATATTAATATATCGTGGTAATGTTGATTCTTTTCCAAGTACTAGATGTCATCCTTACTTAAGTTTAAAAATTACTCTATCCATTTTTTTTTAAATTTCGGTATGTCCATATAGTTTGTCATTTTTTTTTTTGAAAATATAATTATACACTTTAATAATATTTTAAATTTTATAATTTATATTTTTTAAATTTTAATTAAACTATTTACTTATTTTAATCTTAATTATAATTATTTTTACTAATAAATTTTTTAATTACTTACTAATTATATTTTACTTAAATTCTAATATCTACAGTAATATGATAATTTAACCAGAACGGATGGAAATAATAATAATAATAACAACAACATAGGACTCCAACTATTATATATATACATGAGTAAACTGTTTTTTAGTTCCGTAACTGGACCCCTTATCATTTTAGTCTCGTAAGTAGAGTATGTCGCAAACTAGTCTCATAAGTGAAAAATTTTCGCTGTTTTAGTTTTTCGGCACAGGAGACGTCTGTATGACTCGCCGGAGGCTACGTGTCCGCCATGTGTCGCTGACTTGGCGGACACGTAGATTTTATTATTTTTTGTTTTCATTTTTTTTCATTTTTTTAAAAAAAATATTTAGAATTTATTTGCCTTTTTAATTTTTTTTATTTGGTCAAATTGAAAAAAATTTAAGAAACATTAAAAAAAATTAAAAAAAAATGTGTCCACCAGATGTCGTTGATCTGGCGGGACACCTGGCGGACATGTAGCTTCCAGCAAGCCACGCGGGCGTCTCCGGCGCCGGAGGACTAAAACAACGAAAATTTTTTACTTACGAGACTAGTTTGCGACAAACTCCACTTACGGGACTAAAATGATAAGGGGTCCAATTACGGGACTAAAAAAAATAGTTTACCATATATATTGTGTTTTTTTTTTTTTTTAGAATTTTTTATTTCTCTTATTTATTTTTCAACGTTTTAAAATGTAGATACTTTATAATTTTGTTTTATTTTTTCTAAAAAAATCACATTAAGTTACCATTATTTACATAAAAAATTACAAATACATATACACAAAGAATCACAAACCAAATAATTTGTTCTTATATATTTTAAAACTGATATTTTTGTTAATTTCTAATTTTCTACAATTAAAGGCCATCACATCCAATATTTATTTTATGGTATTAAATATCATATTAAATAATTATTTTCACATATAAATATAAAAATTTATAGTACAAATGAAACACACCTTAATTTACTATTTTTTTAAAAATAATTTATTTAAAACAGTTCATTTACAAATGAAGTGTAAGTAATTTTTAGGAAGGAAATGAGTAAAATAGTTTTAACATATTCTAGAATATTTCTATTATAATTTATTAAGAGTTTGTTTCTTTTGATGAGTTTGAAAAATATTTGGTTTGAGTTTGCTATGAAAATAATGTTTGATGAATTGTTTTGTGAGAGAAAGAAAATTTATTTTTTTTTCCGAAAAACGTAGAGTCCAAACAGTAGAATTTGAAAAAAATTATGCTAAAGAGACAGACCCTAAATTTGTGCCTTCACTCTATTTATTTATTTATTGTTTTAAGATCTGGATAAAAAGAGTCTCCTTCTTGATAAAATATATTCTCTAGTTATTTTCTATTTGTGTTCAAGAAGACTGGTAACAAACTATACTGAATCCTCTGTTCCATTAATACTCTCTATCCCCTTCACTCTCTTATCATTTGGTTACGAAACATGCTAAAATTAATTAATTGATTTCATACTAAACATGTATTTAATTAAAAAAATTTGTATTTTGTCTTTTTGTTTTTTTGTCTTTGTTTTTGTTTTTGTTTTTTTATGTTTAAAGTTTGTTTTTTTGGTGTATAATTTTCTATTTTGCAATTTTAATTTGCTGACATTTCTATGATTTTTTTTTCCTTTATGATCGGATTATAGTGGTTAATTAAAGCTAGAAAAATTAAATTGCTATTTGAACTATTGATTTTGTGACATTTAAATTGTTTTAATTTTTAAACTGTATTGAACTTAAAATCTTGATTCTTAGTATTTAAATTTTATTGTTTTATGTAAATTTTATTTCCTCGATACTGAATTATTCTAAACTTTGAATTGTGTTGCACATAAGATTTTGTTTCTGTCAGCTTAAATTTTTTTTTCTCATATTAAATTCTTTCGAGCTCTAAATTGTGTTGAATTTAAATTGTGTTGAATTTAAAACTTTAGTTTCTTAATATTTAAAATTTGCTTTCTTGATATTTAAATTTTGCTTTCTTGCAACTTAAACCAATTAATCCAAACCATATATAGAATAAAAATAAAAATTAATCAGACAGATTACAACTAATCAGCACCTAACCCGTTCCCCCTTATTAGTAATGTCATCATGTGTCTATAGTAAAAGATAAGAAAGGATTATATTTATTCAAGTTTAAACTTTTCATTTAACCAACAGCCATGGCATGCCATGCATTATATCAATGAACTCATAAAAAACAAACCCTAAATGAACAATTAATAATTCATTGTGAAAACAGAATCTATTTGTTGCTGGAACCGACACAGTAGCAGCTGCAGTTGTCTGGGCAATGACAGCCCTGTCATCAAGGCCTGCAATTATGCATAAAGCTCAGGCACAGATCAGAGGGCTCATTGGGGCAAAAGGAACAAGTCGAGTCGAGGAAGAAGACCTTCCAAAGCTAGGGTATCTCAAGGCAGCGGTGCTGGAGACTCTCAGGCTCTTTCCCCCAGCTCCTTTGCTCTTCAGAACCCAAATATCGAACCATTCCTGCACCGTAGGGGGTTTCCATGTCCCGCCGGGAACCTCAGTCATCGTCAACGGATGGGCATTAGGAAGAGATCCCGATAATTGGGAACATCCCGAAGAGTTTCGCCCTGAAAGGTTGGTTCTATTATTTTAATACGTGTTGGAAAATTATTATATCGCAAGAATATCTAAATAATTACCGAGAGTTTTGATATTGTCGTGATATAATTAATTTTTCAACTGTATGTTTCTTAACATTATACTTATTTAAAATATATTTAACAAATATAAATTAATTCAATTAACCTTATAACATATAATAACATAATCATGTGGATCTATTCTCAATCATTCTATTATTCTATATCTACATCTCTCTTCAATAAAGAAATATTTTTTTTACATTTTAAACTCCGTGTGTTTTTTTTTTATAAAATTAGTTTAGATTAATTATAAATAAATAAATATATTTATTTATTTTATTTACTTGTATTATATAGAAATTTATTCTCTACAAAAATGATATTGAAATCTTGTGTATATATTTATTGAGAATATAATTTTTAAAATATTTAATAATATATTCTAAATTTCTTTCTAATTATATAATTCTTATTTAAAATTATCAACAATATTGTTCATATAAAAAATAATAATAATATCATGCCCCACTATTTACTCAATTTTACTATCTTAAATATTGCGGCACTAATCAAATGCCTCAAACTCTTATAAGATAGAGGAAGTACATTGGAAATCTTGAAATGATGCATGATTTCTATCGACTATAAATCATGTATATCTGTGCAATTGGGAAAACCTAGCTTTTTCAAGATTTTATGTATAATTGTGATTTGAATATGTATATATATATATATATATATGTGTATAGGTTCCTTCAAGACGATGGCACAATCAACAGAGATGCTGCTGCTTTTGCTGTTGGAGCTAATCATTTTGGGGATTTTGGAATGGTCCCTTTTGGAGGAGGAAGGAGAGGCTGCCCTGGCAAGGAGATAGGCCTCATATCCACAGAGCTCGCTTTGGCAAATCTCCTCTACTCTTTCGACTGGTCTGCTGGCCATGGCTGCTGCTGCAGCACCCACGAAAAAGACGACATCCAGTCACTGCCTGGCCTCACTACTCACAAGAAAAACCCACTTATTCTCATGGCTAAAACCTTCATACAGAATGACTGATCAGACACATAACTCATATTATTTATTACATATATATATATATATATGCTTGATTAGTGAAAACTCGAATATATATATGGTCATGAAGCACATAACAGTACTATCTATCAATGTTTTTGTGATAATTATTATTTATATGCTGCTATAGTGAGGTGAACTTTGTTGTTTGTATGCTGAAGTATTTCTTCAACATTTGTGAACAAGTTCATAATTAGCCATTGGATCAAGCACAAAATGTACGGATGATTTCACAGGTTCTTAATTTTTAACAAAATTAATCTTTAACTTGGTTATGGAGCATATATGTATAAATGATTAAAGAGAATACTAATTCAACATATTCATATTAAGCGAAAATAGATCGACCGTGTCAAAATAAAAAAATTCACAAATTAAAACCACAAGTTTGATCACTAAACAATAATAGAATGTTAAAAATATTGTGATTAAATAATTAAAGCAAAAGACACTCCATTGTTGTGTTTATATAAAGCAAAATTGGTGTAAAGCAAAATTTCGAAACTAGTCTTCTTTATTATAGATTATACAATATAAATATAATGAAATCCGAGTGTTATTGTTTAATCAGCACGATGCTGACGTCTAATTCACCGGTGCCATAAATGAAGCAAATTAATAATACAATTCATTGTAGTCCCATAAAGGATAGATTCGTGACCGTGAAATTATGAGTTTAAACTATAACAGTTGTAATTTCTACATCATAATAGAAAATGGTACAATTCATTGTTGAAAAATATAAAGAAGAAAAAGAAAAGAAGAAAGAAGAAGAAGAAAAAGTAATTTTATAATTCAATAATATAAAATTATGAGCTATCAATTTAAAATAATGAACTACTATATTTAATTGTTTGCAAAAGAAAGTGAACAAAGTGCATCAATAATTTGTTCAAATTTTATAATATATATATATATATACATTTATTTCCTTCATCCCAATTAAGTGAGTGATTCAATAGAATCTATAATAGATTAAAAATAATAATATTTAATTAGTTAATGGGAATGTGTAAAATAATTTTAACATTTTTTTCTCTATGTACTTTATATATAAATTAATTATATATGTAATATTATTTTGATATTAATATAATTACTTTTATTGTAATAAACAAAAATGAATATTTTAATATGAGAGTAAAAAATACGTTGGTACAAAGAGAGTATTACATAAATTGTTTAATAATTCATCTCGGTGAACATATTGCACAAGTAATCTATTGATCTTGTTCTAATTTTTAAATTGTTTAATTCTCTAATCTATTTTAATTTCGTCAAATAAATAAAAAATAGTAACAAATCCACCTTGTTATATCACAAAATGTAAATATATAAAATAATAAAATTGTATGATAATATGTATGTATTTAGGAGTATAGATAAGCAGATAGATAAATATTAATATATTATAAAAGTTTATAAATATATATATATATAGTATATGAATAAATATATAGGATATATGTGAGTATATGAATAAATATATATAGTATTAAATATAAATGGATAGATATGTAGGATATATGTGACACCCCCGGACAGTAAGCCATATGAAGCCGGACGTGTCGAGATCCACAAGATTATTCTAACGCACTTCTGTCCTCAACGTGCACACACTCACACTCCTGCATACACGCACCCATCAAAGATCGAACTTGAAACCCAACCGTCAAGCAAAGGATTTGACCGATTATTCTCTTGAGTTACAGCCTACTGTTGCATAATTCGATCTTGGCATCGAATTATCATACAAATAACGCTATTGATTGGTTGTAGAAGCAACCAAAGTGCTCCTTCGTATTGTTATGATTCAATGTATTTTTAATTATAATACACATATTTATAGATAAATTAAATAACTATTGATAACCGATTGATAATCTCTCATTAATGAAAGAAAACTAGTAACAACTATTAAATTGAGATTGAGACTATCTGATTGACCGACTACAAAATCGGATAAAATAAACTATGACCAAAAAAATAAATAATAATAATAATAATAATAATAATTGATATAGGGTCATTTAAATATCATACCCATGTGGTAATGTGGTTGATGACTAATCACATTAATCTTTGTATAAATATCTTGAGTTAGAAATAAAACGACAGACACACAATTTTTGTTTCGAACTCTCTCTCTCTATAGCCACTTTCTCTCTCTTTAAATAAAAATCACACACTACGTGTGCACACTATATAAACATCTATCCTATCACATAATTTATTACTACATACATACATACACGTTTTTATACATACATAATATCCTTATATATATATATATATACATACGGGGTCGTTCCTGACTTTCGAAGACTTCGGGGCGAAATAAAAGTTAAGAATCCTTAAATATATATATATAATATTTTTTACCTATAATAAAATATAAATAAAAAAGATATTTTGTTTCGAATAATTTTTAAAAATTGTGTAACGCTCTCTTATATTTTAACGAATGCTATATGAAACCCCCGCCATGCAAAAAAATATAGATAAAAACTATCTTCTCATCACCAAAAAAATACTCCTTCCGTTCAACTAGAAAATATACATATTTCTATTTTGGTACGTCCAATTACAAAGTAAACATTTGATTAAATACTTCATTTTTCCAAAAATACCCCTACTTTACATCACATCATTATTTTTACACCAAAAGGCAAAGGCAAAAATGTCATTACACTATTTTTAACTACCTACTATAATTAAAATACTATTATTTTATAAACACCGCGCAAAAAGTAATTGTATACTTTATGCGTAGATGGAGGGAGTATAAAAATGAGTTTTATGAAACGTTTTTTAAAGTATAAGGGGGTTCATGTCATTTTTAAAGTATACAGAGGATTTACACTGAGTTTCGAAATCATAAATGAGCTATTGATAATTTTGCCTAATAATAATAATAATTTTTCTAACATTTATTATCTTTTTAGTGCAAAAAAATAATTAAAAAAATAAAAGACCCCTAAATATATAAATGATCTGCTCCAATTTTTTTTTGCCTCTAATAGAATATAAATTATTGAATAAAAAAAAAATTCATAATTTTTAAATAAAATATCAATAATAGTATCAATATTAACAATTTTAAAACAAAAATTAGAGCCCATAAATATATAAAAATAATATTTTTTATCTATAATAAAATATAAATAATTAAATAAAATAAATTTTCTAATATTTTTATATGCAAAATATCAATAATATTATTAACCACTAAGCCATGCTCTTGTATAAATACATAAATGTCAAATAATTTTTATATATAAATAATTTATATATAAAATAAATAATAAGCCCCAATTTAGATTGGGTTCTGGGCGGTCACCCATTTCGCCTGGGCCTAGGGACGGCCTTGTGTATATATATATATATTCATCACTTACTTGAATATTTATATTTTGTTATATATTTTATAACATGTTATCAACACGACGCTTTGTCGATGAAGTGTTAATATAAAAATAGCATTTTTTTTTCTGGTATTTAAGTTAGTGAAAACAGGTTGTAAAAATTGTGTTGGAAGAGAATATTTTTATCCTAAAGTTCTGTCCGGATATAAAAAGAAGATATTTAAGCATTGTGGAACCTAAGCCAAAATTTCAAGGTAATCATCTAATTATTTATTTCAATACATTTATGATTAACACAAAAATGTTCAAATTTTCCATTAGTTATTATAAAGAAAATGCACCCAAAGATGTCAAGATTCAGTAAATAAATCTGAAAATAATGCTAGTGGTGGTGATATTTTATTATTAACACATAATTAGATGTGTTATTTTATATATATATATACCGAGAAGGTTTATATTTTGGTAACCCTAAAGGTTTATATTAAGAACCTTGGAGGTTTAAATTTTAAAAACTCTGAATGGTATATATTGAGCATCCTGAATGTACATATTTTGAAACTCCCAATATTGTATATTATGTACCATTAAGGTACATATTTGAAATTCTCGATGATTTATATTTTGAGGATCTTGAAGATGCAATGTTATAATATATATGTGAAAGTCCACATATATAATTATTCTTACTTCCATATTTGGTAATACCGTAACAATTATGAATTTTATTTAAATTAATGATATATTTCTTTTGTGATATTTCTTCCAAAAGAAGAAATATTTATGTTGAATGCATTGTAATGAATACATAAGACAAATTATGTCCCATTGATGGTGTATAAACGCACATCATCCTAAAATATAAGAAATATTTCACCAATCTGAAGTTGGAAAAAATTCAGGTGAATACTTGTGCGAAATTGATCGAGGACTCTGGAAGAACAATAATATTTCTCCCTGAATAGTAAAACTTGATATTCCAAATGCACTATATTCCAGAAAATTCGAAAGAAATTTGCTAAGCTTTAATGATATTCGCAAAACTGGATATAATATTGAATAATCAAATTAGACAAATAATGAATTTTTGTTGATTACAAAATTGGTTTATGGATATAAATATATACTAGAAAAATTGCATTCAATGTCTTCCAGATTATATTATACAAAGATTAATGCACTTGAAACATATTTGGTAGACTAGAAGTTACAGATTTTATGATTTGCATGACCGGTTTTCGCATCCTGATAATACTATGATGAGACGAATTTTAGAAAATACATTGGTCATAATTTGAAAGATCAGAGTGTATTAAATACAAATGAGTTTAGATGTGTTGTTTGTTCAAAAGGGAAGTTAATAACTAGACAATCACCAGAAAAAAGTGGGAAATTAATCCCCTGTATTTTTAGAACGAATTCATGGTAATATATGTGTCAATAGATCCACCATGCAGACCACTGAGATATTTTATGGTACTTATCAATGTATCTATTAGATGGTCGTATGCATGCTTATTATTCACCCGCAATTTGATATTCGCGAGGTTGCTTAAGCAAATAATTAAATTACAAGCATAGTTTTCAGATTCCCAATAAAGAAAATTCATCTTGATAATGTTAGTGAATATTCATTTAAGACATATGACGATTATTGTATGTCTATTGAGATTGATATTGATCATATTGTACAGTATGTATACACTCAAAATGGTCTAGCTAAATCGCTTATAAAAAGGCTGGAATTAATTGCAAGACCTATGTTAATGAAATCTAAACTTTCTGTATTTTCTTG